ATGGCGACTAGAAACAAATCAGGAACCAAACATGACGAACATAGCGTGGAAACGCTCGCCGAAGTTTTTCGTTGCTTCATTTGCATGGAAAAACTCCGCGACGCCCATCTATGCCCGCACTGTTCCAAATTATGTTGCTACGTCTGCATCCGCAGATGGTTAACGGAACAGAGATCGCAATGTCCACATTGCCGCGCCTCATTGCATTTGCACGAGCTCGTCAATTGTCGTTGGGTCGAAGAAGTCACTCAGCAACTCGACACATTGCAAGCTGTCAATCTCAGTGGCAATAGAAACGAAGAAAATGATAGAGATAAATGTTCGACGCATCTAGAGAAACTGTCGGTCTATTGCTGGACCTGTAGATGCTGCATTTGCCATCAATGCGCTCTCTGGGGTGGCACCCATTCTGGCCATACTTTTAAACCTCTAGATGAAGTTTATGAACAACACGTCACTCAAATCAAAGACGAAATTATCCAATTACGTAGACGATTAATGGAATTAATCAGTATTGTACAAGAAGTAGAGAGAAATGTAGAAACCGTTAGATCCGCTAAAGATGAGAGAGTGAGGGAAATAAGAAACGCTGTTAAAGTAATGATAGCTCGATTAGATTCCCAATTAAAAGCGAAATTACTGACTTTAATGGGTCAAAAGGACGCGCTGACGCAAGAAACTGAACAATTAGAACATCTATTACACGAAATCGAACATCAATTGCATGTATGTTCGAGATCTGAACTTATTTCTAAAAGTAGCGAAATTTCTAGAATGATACACGCTATCAGAAAGAAACCGATGACCAGTTTTGTAACAGCTCCAGTTCCAGCAGATTTTCCAAGCGAGATAGTACCCAATTACGATACCAGTACTTTTATCTTACACGGATTCTCGCAGTTACAACGCAAGGCTGATCCTATTTATTCGACACCATTACATTGTAATGGTCTATGTTGGCGATTAAAAGTTTACCCAGATGGAAATGGAGTAGTCAGAGGGAATTACCTGTCGGTATTCTTGGAGCTTAGCGCTGGGTATCCAGAAACTTCAAAGTACGAATACCGAGTAGAAATGGTCCACCAAGCCAGTCGAGATTCATCTAAAAACATCGTTAGAGAATTCGCTTCGGACTTTGAAGTAGGAGAATGTTGGGGTTACAACAGATTTTTCAGACTCGATGTTTTATCTAGCGAAGGTTATTTAAACGAAACTTTAGATACGCTCGTTTTAAGATTTCAAGTTAGAGCCCCGACTTTCTACCAAAGATGCCGGGACCAACAGTGGTATATAAATCAACTTCAAACCGTCCAACACCAATATATCACTCAGATTAACGAATCGAAGGAGCTGTTGGCGGCTGAGATATCTAGAAATGCTATGGCTGCTAGTATGAGAAAGAAACCTAACGATGTAGTGAATTTGGCTTTGGTGAAATCTCTTTACAATCTACCCAGCCCTATTAGAGATAATAGTCCTGCTCCGTCAACTTCGCATGACGTTTCTAACGATAAATCTTTTTCGACAGAGTTGGCGAATTTTGGTAAAAGTTTAGCTGGTACCAGTAATCAAACTAAAACCGATGATTGTCCTTGTTCTTCGAAAACTACCGTTAAAAAACCGAATTCGCCTCATCGCTTAGGGCTTAGCGTTTCATTGAGTTCTCCTAATATATTAAATACAGCCGTGTCTTCGTTAATGCTAACTAGTAGCAGTAGTGAAAGTGATTTAAGCGAACCCGATTTCGAGCTACCCGAAGCGACATCTAACGACGAAAACGACGTCGACGCTGAAACAATGTCTGGAGAAAACGATGTAGAGTACGCGGAATTTTCTATGGCGCAAAGAATGCTGGCTAGAGATCCGAGTTCAGCTAATAGTAGCATAGTAGGCGCATCAGCACTTTCACCAACCGAAATAGTCGGAAATTTCGAAGAAAAATTAAAACTATTCCATTTCTTCGAAAATTCGGCAGCCATTAATCCAAATCAAGATCCGACGAATACCTTACTGGATCTCACTACTTCGAATTTGGATTTGGCTTTATTGGGAACTATTTCCAACGATGCAGTTTCGAATGACGTACTTACCACTGAAAATAGGAAGAAATTGAAGCATCGATTTAGACATTTAGATATGGCTAATCAAGGACCAAGTAACAACCAAACGATTTGGAGCGAAACCGTTCCTATTTCGCAGATAACAAAAGAATCCGTGATGGGACCTTTAGAATCGTTCTTGCGATCGATTAATTGTTATCCGGAACACGATCAATCTAGAAGGAAAGAATCGCCGATGAAAGAGAGGAAAAAACAGTCTAAATTTCCCATGGTGCAAATGGTTTCTCCGCCTCCTATAAGCGATAATGCAGAAGCGATCGTGGAGCCGTCTTCGTCTTCGGCTTTCAGTTGGACGCCTTCGTTGTTGAATCAGCGGCAAAGAAATAAGTCGCCCAGGGCGCCACCTAGTGAGTTGGCTTTACCGGAAAAGGATGCCGGCAAATCTATTGATAATCACCGCCATTCCTCTTAAAGTAGTGATCTGAAATATTAATTATGATAAAATTAACTATTTTTTGAAATTATTTTCTATTTTTTTGATTGGTATTTATTCTAAAAAAAAAATGTATACGCCAATTCGGTGTTATTTATATTTACAAAGCATACGAGATGGATCTAAAATGTGATAAATATTTAAGATAGATTATTCTAATTTTTACAACAAATATTTTTAAAATACACATAAAAAATTACTCTACATTGTTGAAATGATTAAATAAAACTTCAAATATCCATGCCTGAATAGACGTTGATAAGGACGTGCTCGAAGAGCACGTCGCAGTCCATTATACAAAGTATGTAGTCATGATTGTTAAAGATGTCGCAAATCATTGTACAAGTTGTCTCAAAACGAGAGCAAATCATTATCTAATGTACAGAATGTTTTATCAAGAATCTTTTTTATTTTTTATGAAATGCAAAATACAATTTTTTGTGTAATAGATTGCGACGTGATCTGAGAACACGTCGTTAACAAAAATGTATATCCAGTCATGGTTGTTAACAATGTAATCCATTGTACAGGTTGTCTCAAAACAAGAGTAAGATAAAACTTTTTGAGACACTATAGAATGGATTGCGACGTGCTCTTCGAGCACGTCGTTAATAATGAAGTGTATTCAAATATTGTTGTTAACGACGTGCTCGAAGAGCACGTCGCAATCTATTATACAATCTGTTCCAACTTTTATTATATATTGCGACGTGCTCTTCGAGCACGTCGTTAACAAGAAATTGTATTCAGATATTGTTGTTAACGACGTGCTCTTCGAGCACGTTGGATTGCGACGTGCTCTTTGAGCACGTCGTTAACAACCATACTTAGGTTCACATTGCTGTTAATAATGTGCTCGAAGGACACGTCGCAATCTTTCATAAAGCGTGTCCCAAAAATTTAATACACGTGAGAAAAATATATCTTATAGAATAAAATAAAACTTTTTGAGACACTATAGAATGGATCGTTAATAATAAAGTATATTCAGATATTGATGTTAACGACGTGCTCATCTATTATACAATCTATTCAAAATTGTATAATAGATTGAGACGTGCTCTTCGAGCACGTTGTTAACATCCATATCTGGATACGCATCGTTGTTAACCACGTCACAATCCACTATGCAGTGTTAACAAAAAAGTTTTATACACGGGGGAAAAATTTTATCTTTCCCCAAAATATTACTTAACATTGTTGAAATGATTAAATAAAACTTCAAAAATGCATGCCTGAATGGTTGTTAACAATGTAATCCATTGTACAGGTTGTCTCAAAACAAGATTAAGATAAAACTTTTTGAGACACTATAGAATGGATTGCGACGTGCTCTTCGAGCACGTCGTTAATAATGAAGTGTATTCAGATATTGTTGTTAACGACGTGCTCGAAGAGCACGTCGCAATCTATTATACAATCTGTTTCAACTTGTATTATAGATTGCGACGTGCTCTTCGAGCACGTCGTTAACAATAAATTGTATTCAGATATTGTTGTTAACGACGTGCTCTTCGAGCACGTTGGATTGCGACGTGCTCTTTGAGCACGTCGTTAACAACCATGCTTAGGTTCACATTGGTGTTAATAATGTGCTCGAAGGACACGTCGCAATCTTTCATAAAGCGTGTCCCAAAAATTTAATACACGTGAGAAAAATATATCTTATATTTTACAAAAAAAAATTTCTTGATTTTACAAATTTTATACTAAATGTAAATTTTCAAATGATACAGATGGTTTTATCAAGAATCTTTTTTTTTTGTGAAACGCAGAATACAATTTTTTGTGTAATGGATTGCGACGTGGTCTATGAGCACGTCGTTAGCAAAAATGTGTATCCAGTCATGGTTGTTAACAATATCATAATCCATTGTACAGTTTGGCTTAAAACAAGAATAAAATAAAACTTTTTGAGACACTATAGAATGGATCGTTAATAATAAAGTATATTCAGATATTGTTGTTAACGACTATCTATTATACAATTTGGAATAAATTGTATAATAGATTGCGACGTGCTCTTCGAGCACGTTGTTAACATCCATATCTGGATAGTGTGAACAAAAAAGTTTTATACACGTGGAAAAGATGTTATCTTACACAAAATCGAGGGGCAAATCACTCCCGCAATACGTGTACAAAATGTCCGCAATCCCATTGAAAATCGCCGCAGTCTCATCAAAATCAGTAACAATCGCTAAGAAATCGCCGCAGTCGTTCCGAATTCGCTCGCAGTCGTTCCGAATTCCCTTGCAGTCCCCCGAATTCTCTAGCAGTCACTGAGCAATCACTAGCAATCGTTAAAAATCGCGCGCAGTAAGGTGACATTAACCAATTAGCCATTGTTGATGTAGGGTGCTTTGATTAAGCCATCTAAACCATTTTGTGTAAAGAAATTGCAGTTTACATTTATCGAAAGGGTCCTTCCGTGCATTTTGAGGCAAGAACTATTAAGTTAAATTTACATTTTGGAATTTGAAGGTTTTTTTTAGGATAAATTTAGACACTAAATCTACTTGTATACAAGATTTTACAAGGTGGTCGAAAATTGTCCCTTTTCATCTAGTTTTTTTTTTTAATGTATAACAAAATTGTTGGTATTTTATGGGGGTTGTGGTGATACACGTTTTAATTAGGGTTTTAAATGTATTTTTACTTTCCTATCTGTTTACAGATAAGGAAAGTATAGGAATCATGATTTTTTTCGACCTTGAATTTTGAGGTATCCTGAATCTGTTTTGACTATTTTCACGATGATGTCTGTGTGTGTGTCTGTATCCTCGATAACTCATGAACGGATACAAATAGAAACACCAAATTTTAAACTTAAGCTTTATTCCGGCGTCCAATTAGCTGATTAGATTTTGGGCAGAGTCGGAACATTTGGAGGGTACTTTATAGTCATCATTTTTATATTTTATGGAATATATCTGTTATTTACGTTTGGAGAAGAAATTTTTTCAAATAAAAGTTACTTACAATATTATTATCTATAATTTGTTCTATACAAAATTTGGTCCGTATTCGAGAAATTTGACAAAATGTAAAAAAAAATATTTTTTTATAAAAATTGTTCAAATAAAAGTTGTTTGTAATATAATTCTCTATAATTTTTTCCCTATACATAATTTCTCTAAAATGGACCGTATTCGAGATATTTAAGAAAATGTGTAAATTTCGAATTTTAAAGAAAAATCAAAAACGGATAAAGTAAAAAACATTAAATTTTAAACTTAAGTTTCCATATATGATGTAGATAATGAAAAGAGCATTTTTTATGGATTGGAAGATCTTAATATAAAGGATTTTCGAAATTACTAGACAAAAAGTGATTCTGATACCTCATTTTTAAACATAATTGTGAACAACAAAAAAATCAAGGTAAAAAAATCAGCTCTTTGTTGGTTATTTTCCACTGAAGACGGGCGCTTCTCAACTGACAGATTATCTTGTGTAAAAGGAACATCCTCAGCAGTACTAAATAACAAAAAAAAAACAAGTCCAGAAAAAACACAGCTAAAATACCAAATAACTACAATGACAAAGATGTAACAGAAAGTGAAAAAACTACCGGTGAAAACACTTTGCTCCAGAAAAATATCAATGGCATTTTAATTAGGAACGAACAATATTACGCAATTCTTTACGAGTCGTGGTACATAGGTCGAATTGTTCAAATAATTGATGAAACCACTAGTAAAATAAAAAATTTTAAATCTGAACTTGAAGAATATTTATGGCCAAAAAAAGACGACATTCAAATTGTTAAAAATAAATTAATATTTTACGGACCCATCAATTCAATTGGATCTGGTCCATTTAAACTAGAAACAAACATCAATAAAATTTGTAAACGTCTAAAAAAACACTTTTATGAAATTTTTAAATAAAAAACCTCCAATTACTTAATTACTTAACTTGTTTTATTTACCTGTACCTATTTGTTCATTTAGGCATATCAAAGATATCTAATAATAGAGGCATGTAAGTACCTACATAGAAGTTTATATTTCGGGTATCACATCAATTAAAACTGATCTTTTAAATGAATAAAAAACGTACAAAAAGTTGATTTATTGATAAATTTGTCGTACACACTTAGTTTTAAATCAATGCATTGTATTTAGCACCTATACATGCGCTATACAAAATTTAGTTTTTCTGATGAAACACCTAGCTACTGCTTTTTTTACTGGAAACCAACTGGTAAGCCATACAATATCGTAGAAATCCTTCGGAATGCGTGCAATTTTGCAATAATACTGACAATCCATACGTACGAGTAAATCGCCGCAATCAATAGGGAAATTGCCGCAATCAATAGAGAAATCGTTGCAGTCAATACATAAATCACCGCAGTCACGGGAAATCTGTCGGAAGTCATGTGGAAATCACCGCAGTCATCCAGAAATCGCCGCAGTCATCTAGAAATCGCCGCAGTCATCCAGAAATCGCCATATGATTGCGGAAATCATATGAATTCGGCAATACATGTACATTTTTACAAAGAGTGATTTGCCCCTCGCACAAAATATTACTTAACATTGTTGAAATGATTAAATAAAATTTCAAAAATCCATGCCTGAATAGACGTTGTTAATCCATTATGTAATATGCCTCGAAAAGTTTTATGTATGTGAGAAAATTTTATCTTACACTTCACAAATTGGAAATAGACAGTGTGTATAATAGATTACGACGTGCTCAAAAACGCACGTTGTTATCTGGATATACATTCTTGTTGGCACGTTGTTAACAATAATTATCCAGGCATTGTTATTAACGACGTGCTCGAAGAGCACGTCGCAGTCCAATATACAATGTGTCCAGTCATGGTCGTTAACGATGTCGCAATTCATTGTACACTCTAAAACGGATTGTGACGTGCTCTTCGAGCACGTCGTTAACAACTATGCCTAGGTTCACATTGTTATTAATAATGTGCTCGAAGAACACGTCGCAATCCTTTATAAAGT